TTAGGTTAAGTTCTTAACCATTATATATAACAAAGTAGGGTAAAAAGCTTTCAAAAGCAGCCATATGAACTCAGAGGCCTAACCACTTTGGGTGGAAATGTTAAATTCAGCAAAAACCTTATGTGCCCCAACAGCAACAGAAGATAGTAGTATTTTAGAGTCAATGCAATTGTAATGACAACAATTCATATTTTTGATATGTACTGTGTGTAGTTCTTGTATGCTTTGTAAATGTTGGCTTATGTGGCCAGGTTTATCAGTAGTCCCATTTCACAGAAAGGAAACCAAGGTATGGAGTAGTAAAGCACCTTGCCCAGTATCACCGAGCTAGTAACTGGCAGCTGAGATTTCACTCCAGGTGATCTCAGTGTCTGTGTGTTTTACTGTCGTGGTTATCTACCGCTCAGCACAGCAAGAACAAGCTGTTTATAGTATTGAATGTAAGTGAAGGCCCTGGTATCTTAAGACTGGGAATATAAAGGTGTTAGTGAGAACCAATGTGAACAAGGATTTGAAGGTTTGAAAAAAATTCAGATTCAAATTCGGAGGGTCCAGAAATGCTGTTATTTCAGGGCTGGAGGTTGGGGAGAAGATATCTAGATGCTTGGCTTAGCCTGAAATGGCAAAGTGGCACTCACGTGAGAATGTTGACATCTGCTGTAGACTGAAACCTATCCCCAAGGTGATGGTGTTTGGGAGGTGATGAGATCATCAGATACCACCCTCAGGAACGGGATTAATGCCCATATAAAAAGAGGCTCCCCTTTCTCCTTCCACGTGAGGGCACAGTCTTTGCCCTTTCCATCCTTCTGCCTCGCGAGGACTCCGTGTTTTCCATTTGTCTTCTTGACAAGGTGAGGATGAGGATATTGGGGCCATCTTTGAAACAGAGAGGCCAGTTCTTACTTAGTCTCAGGCATTTTGTTCAAGCAGCAAAATGTACTGAGACAAAATTCCATCTAAAAATTTAAGGCATATCCTGTGGCTCGTGTGGGAGATCTAAAGGATTTGGGGCAGAGGAATGGAGAGATTGTGGCCATGTGTGTTAGAAAGCGCAGGGCATCCATGGGTGCAGTGAGGAAGTGGAGGCAGGGAGACCTCCCGGGTGACACCTTGGCCAGAGGGGAGAGCATGGTGGGGATTTGAGAAATATTTCAGTGGCAGAAAATTTGGCTTAGCAAGTGACTAATTTTAGGGACAATGGAAAGAGAGGATCCAAAAATGAAGTAAGATCTCAGATGAGTGGCTGGTTTGTGAATCTGGGGAAAGTGACAGAAATGAAATATATCACCTTAAAAAATGAAAATAATATAATATGCCTTTGAAGCAGGATAAATGGAGGAAAATTCTTCAGTTAAGGGACTTAAGATCCCTATATATAACCCACTTTTATTTATGGCATGAAATGTGTTTTTACAAAAATGTATGTGGGGCTGGTCCTGTGGCATAGCTGGTAAAGCTGCTGCCTGCGGAGCTGGCATCCCATGTGGGCATGGGTTTGAGTCCCAGCTGTTCCACTTCCGATCCAGCTCTCTGCTATGGCCTGGGAAAGCAGTAGAAGATGGCTCAAGTCTTTGGGCCCCTGCACCACCTGGGAGACCCGGAAGAAGCTCCTGGCTCCTGGCTTCAGATCGGCACAGTTCTGGCCTTTGCAGCCAAGTGGGGAGTGAAGCAGTGGATGGAAGACCTCTCTGTCTCTGTCTCTCTCTGCCCCTGCCTCTCTGTAACTCTGCCTTTCAAACAAGTAAATAAATCTTAAAAAAAAATATGTGTAGGAATAGGAATTTAGACTAGTAAATACAATTCCAATTAAGATGCCCACGTCCCATATCAGAGTACCTAGGTTTGATACCCAGCTCCAGTTCCTGATTGCGACTTCTCAGTAATGTTGAAGTGGGAAACAGAACTGATGATTCAGTAATTGGCTTCCGTCCACCCCTGTGAGACATGTGGCTGAGTTTCTGGTTCCCTGCTTGACATTGGCTCAGTTCTGGCTGTTGCAGGCATCGGAGGAGTCATCTAGTGATGAGAGCCCTCTCTCAGTGTTTATCTGTCTCTCTGCCTCTCAAATAAATAGTTAAGATATGTGTGTATTAGAATAAAAAACAAAAGAAAAAGAAAAAAGAAAAAAAAAGAATAAAAAAACAGAAAAAAAGAGATATGTGTGTATTAATCTGGCATCATATTGTATATAATTTTCCCCACCATATATACATCATCTTCCCAAGCCAATTCATATACATCCATGACATCACTATCAATGGCTGTATAGTATTCTGTGTGTATGTAGAGAGGTTCATTTAACCAGCTGACTGTTGATGGAAATTTCAGTGGCTTATAGTTTTTTTTTTTTTAATTGTAACCAACCACGTAAGGAATGACTTTGCATATCTTTGGATTTTTGTGCCAATCATTTATAAGATAAAATCTTCAGAGTAGCTTTACTAGGTCAAAGGGTAAACACATTTAAAATTTTGATAAGTTCTTCTAAATTGCCAGATGGTCAGATTTTTAGGAAAGGGTAATGAGTTCTTCTTTGGTCAAGTAAGGTCAAGGTGCAGAAGATCTGAGGACACTGCCAATGCTCCCTAATCAATTAGTAACACAGGTAGGTCTCTCAATAGAAGTGACAGTTGGAGATGTGCCAAATCAGTATGAAAACTCCAAGCCTCATCGTGATTAAAGACAATAAACTATGATTCAAATATTCACAAAGACATACTAATCACATTAATTATAAAGGCTCTCATGTACTGTGAAAATATATATAAAACATAAAAACATAATTCCATCTTCAGTGTACCATAAAATGAATCCAATGGCTATGACAAATATTAATTACATATTTAAGCAATAATTTTTCTTGCCTCTTTAAATTTAGAAATGCTTTTGCAGGATTGTTCTGATTCCTGAGATCTCTTCATAGCATTTGCAGGTGTCAGTGCCGGTCAGCTAAAGACCACCAGGAGCACTCTGGCAGTTGAACAGTTTGGGATTGTTACTCATTGCAGTGAGGGAAAGCAGGTGCCAAGGGAGCCATGGGGCATCTTAGTGAGAGGGACTGAGAAAGGATTTGTTACAGGATTTGGACTTGAGAAACTAGGGCTTTGCTCTGGATTGGGAGTAAAGAAGTGGGAGTAAATACAATTGGATAGCTTAATAAATCTTATCTAAAACGAGAGAAGATTGGAGCAGGACCCAGGCTGTAGTTGGTGAAGAAGCAGCAGCTATCTGTGTCTGCTAGGATCGGGGATATTTGGTCGTTTTTGTGGTTGAACACTTCATATTTTGTCTGTGTTCCAGAATGCTTGTTTTTGACCTGCTCCTTCGTGACCTCAGAGTGCCCTTGTCTGATGTTGATTTTCTTTCAAATTGTTTATGTTCAGCAGGAGAATGCCAGGTCCTACCTGTGAATTCCAGCAGATCTAACACCAGGGCCAAGCTGATAGTATTAGGCCAGGTCCTGGATGTCAGGGCAGCTCTCCTCTTCCTCACAAAAAAACAAGTTCCCACTGCCTTTGCCTGGATGATCCTTCCTGATCCTTCACGTTTCAGCTTCAACCTGACTTCCTAAGGATAGTCTTTCCCCTGGAAAGAAACAGGTCAGGTCTTCTTCCGACATAGCCCTCCACACCTTCTGCTTCACCTTTGACGCACCCGTCTCAGTTGTAATTGCCTGACTGTGCCAGCAGTCGTCCAACAGCAGTCTTGGCAGCTCGCTGTGAGCTCCAGGAGAGCAGGGGCCATGTCCATCTTTTTCTTCTCAGTATCCCCAGCGCCTCCCAGAGCAATGAATGGTGCAGGTGCTCAGTGTTAGTCCTGGATGAGAGAACTGAATGGACACAAGACGAGAGCTCCTTGTGACTCACGACGTCGGTGTCCCACAGCCCAGACCGGTGCTTGACACACAGTAGGTGCTCAGTAGATGCTTGCATAACAGGTCGTGAAGATTTTATGCCAACTTGATTAGGCCACAGGATGTCCAGAGAGCTGGTTAAATGTTATTTCTGAGTTTGTCTGTGAGTGTTTCTGGAAGAGATTAACATTTAAATTGGTGGATTGAATAAGGCACGTGACCCTCCCCGGTATGGGTGGGCATCACCTAATCCCCTAAGGCCTGATTAGAGCGAAAGGCAGAGGAAGGTTGAATTCACTCTACCTGAGGGGCTGGCCTGGGACCTTCTCTTTCCCTCTGTGCTCCTGCACCTCGGGCCTCCAGACCTGGGCTGGGGTCTGTCCAGCTCTCAGGCCTTCAAATGATGCCTCCAGCTTTCCTGCGTCTCCACTGTGCGGGTGACAGGTGCTGGGACTTCTCAGCCTCCACCGTGTGAGCAAATTCCTTATAGCAATTCTCTGCATGTGTATATCTGTGTCTGTGTCTAAATCTAGAAAAAATATATAATAGGTTTTATTTCTCTGGATAATATATGACCTAATTCTTTTCCATTCTTATCATTTTGTCCGAGAAACCTTTCCAGTGGCTCCAGTGATCCCAAATAATCGAGGATGCTTGATGTGAATGTAGTTAGTGGTAAAAGTTTTGGCATGTGCAGTGGAAAGAAGGGGCCATCAAAGAAGGAGGTACCTTTTTCTGAAGAGAGGAGAGAACTTCCACTTTGATTATGGCCTTGTCTAAATAAGGTCAGAGTTTGTGAACTCAAGAGGCTTCCATAGCCTTGGCAGCTCATGACAAGAGCCTTGGGTGATTACTGATGATAAATAAGAGTGTCAATTGTTAAATCAACAACGGGAGTCACTGTGCACTTATTCCATCTCTGTCCTTAATGTGTTGTATTATGAGAATTAACAGTAAAACTACTACTAAAATAGTGCTTTATACTTTGTGTGTCTGTGTGGGTATAATCTGTTGAATTCTTTCCTTAATATATACTAAGTTGATCTTCTGTATATAAAGATAATTAAAAATGAACCTTAATGAAGAATGGGATGGGAGAGGGAGTAGGAGATGGGATAATTTGTGGGTGGGAGGGTGATTATGAGGGGAAAAACTGCTATAATCCAGAAGTTGTACTTTTGAAATTCATATTTATTAAATAAAAGTTTTCTTAAAAAAGAAACAGCTGAGTCAGTTTGCATTCAAGTTGAAATAAATTGTGTAATAAATTAAAAAAAAAAGTTTAGGCGTATGGAGAAGTTAGCTGGACACCATTTTGAAATGTGAGGTTTGACCCAAATTTGCTCCTCTTTGCTCCATACTCCTTTTTATCTCCTCAGAAGCTCTGCACGGTCTCAGACCAAATAAAGACTCCCTAGAACCCAAGGGTGGCTGTCAGAGCCCGGCACACTTCCTTGTTGGGAAGCCATAAACACAATTACCAGATCATTAAGGATTTTCAAAGAGGCGCTTTGAAGCAACGTGTGTGGAATTGCCTGGTTGGGCGTGAGCTGTGTCCTGCACACACCAGCCTCCCTGGTGGCAGCCATCTAGGAGAAGACAAAGTATTGTGAACTGACACAGCTTAGTGGCAGGCGTGGGGAAAGCTGACAGGGACAGCCAGGCTCCACTCATGGCCCTGATGCTCTTGGCTGTTGTCCCCTTGGATAATACACCAGCTCGGGCTTGCCGAGCCTGTTTACTCACGTATGAAATAGCGTAGTGGAGGATTGGTGGTGTCTTAGGTTTTTGTTACTACGACTGAAATACCTGCGAGAGGCCACTCGGGAAGGAAGAGATTTATTTCAGCTAAATGCTCTGGAGGTTCGCAGTCCGAGACCAAGTAGCCCCATTAGTCTGGTGTCTGATGAGGGTGGAGGCTGGCAGTGGGGGGACGTGTAGGGCACACTCCAGTGCTGAGCCAGAGAGCTGGCAGACAGGGAGCTTGGCTTACATACTCAGTCCTCTCAGAAACCTGCCTTCCAAGGGCATGTCCCCAGTGACCAAAGGACGTACCGCCAGGGTACGTTTGTGCCAAGGGTCGTTTGGATATTTATAACACCACCCATGGGCCATACAAGATTATCAGCCTAAAAATTCGCCTGCTATAGATTTGTTGAATTTCACGTCCTGCCTGCAGCTGCCTTGACTGAGCCAGAGAAGGCCAGACCAAATGATTTTGAAGGCCTTATACGACTTGTGGGCTGGACATTCCCCTGCCTTGCACTAGGCCTACCTTGCAGATACTAAAATTGAATCAAACCCCCACCCTTAATTTATCAACTGCTAACATGAATACGTTAACTGTTAACATAAGACCTTGGAGTTTAAAAGTCTATATGAGGGAAGAAATCAAATCTTGTCCCAAACCTCTACCCCTTGAACTAGTTTGCTAGGACCCCCATAACACAGTCCACAGACTGGGTGGTTTAAGCAATGGGAACTTATTTTCCCACAGTTCTGAGATCAAGGTGTCAGCAGGATTGATTCCTCCGGAGTGCCCAGAGGGAAGGATCAGCCAGGCCTCTCTCCCTGGCTGGTGGATGCCGGCTCCTGCCTGTGTTCTCCCATCATAGTCCTTCTGTGGTGTCCAGACTCCTTTTTATAAAGACTCCAGTCATACTGGATTAGGGCCCACTCTAAAATGACCTCATCTTCAAACAGTGCCACCTAGGGGTTAGGACTTTCAGCATATGAATTTGGGGAGGACACAGTTCCAACCCAAAACACCCTCCAGAGCCTAGGCAGTTCCTCTCATAAAATAAGTGTATTTCCCCATCCTTTGCGGCTGTGTGGACCTTTTGACTGGCTCTGACCAATGGGACATTAGTAGACGTGAAGCAAGCAGGATTCTGAAACGTGCCCCTGTGTTTCTTTCAGTCTAGTTCCTCTACAGATGCGTTTAGCCTGAGAAAAATCCCCAGGCTCGTCTGACACAGCATGAGAGGCCTGAACTATGAAACCAAGTTGTCCCAGTCATCCCAGCTAAGGCTATCCAAGATCAGCAGTGGCCAGCAAGCCCCTATACATGTGAGTGAGTCCAACCAAGATCAGCAGAGGTACCCAGATAACCTGCAGCTAACCATAGGCATATGAACAAGGCAGTGAAATCAGGTGAACCCAGCCCAGAGCAGCTGAACTCAACATCACTGCTGCTTGTTACACAGCCTTACTGGGTGGAACACAGGACTGAGCCAAGATTAGCAATACTTGAATCAAGAGGACCCATGAAGGAGTGCACAGCCCTTTGGGTAAGTATTAAGTGAATTGCAGCCATGACATTACAGTGTTTCACAAAACCTTGAGTTTTTTTTTAAAGATTTATTTATTTATATTTTAGAAAACTTTTATTTAATAAATATAAATTTCAAAAGTACAACTTCTGGATTACAGTGGTTTTTTCCCCCCATAACCACCCTCCCACCCCTTAAGGGCTGATTCTGAGGGTAGAGTGCTGTTTAGGGCACTTGCCATTCTATGAGTCTGCTGTGTATCCGGTTTCCCATGTTAGATCGTTCTCTCCTTTTTAATTGTATCAATTATTATTAGCAGACACTGAAAACCTTGAGTTCTGTGTAAAAGTCAGGGGTTACCAATACAGAATAACATAACTATGTAATGATCTGGGTGAAAGTGTTGGCATGAATAAAGCTGACAGATCAGACACTTGCTATAATGTATAAACTTGAGCCTACACTCCTGCACAATAACCATTCGGTGTTATATAATATCTCTTCTGTGTGGAATCTGTTTTATAAGTTTTCAAAAAATATTGATTATGTCTTTGAAAGGTAGAGTTACAGAGAGGGACACACACACACACACACACACACGAAGAGATCGATGTTACATTCTTTGGTTTACTTCACAAATGGCTGCAATGGCTAGGCCAGGGTTGGGCCAGGCTGAAGCCAAGAGCCTGGAACTCCATCCAGGTCTCCCACGTGAGTGGCAGGAGCCCAGGCACTTGGGCCATTGTCTGCTCCCTTCTCAAGTGTATTGGCAGGGAGTTGGATCAAAAGTGGAGCAGCCGGGACTTGAACTGGCACTTGTGTGGGATGTTGGTGTCACAGGTGGCATCTTAACCCATGGTGCCACAACACTGGCCCCTGCATGGATTCTTAGGAACTGCTTACAGGAAAAATGAGGCTCAGAGAATCAAAATGACTTGTTCCAGGTCACATGGATAGCAAGTGGCAGAGCCTTTATCAGATGAGATGTTTGTAATTTTGCTAACATGAGAAAACATGGTATTTTCACGTCTTCTCCTAAGGAAGATTTTGACTTTATGTTTAATTTAAATATTTAATTTTTATTTAAAAGGTAGGGTTTCAGGGAGAAGGAGAGAGATCTTCATCCACTACTTCACTCCCCAAATGGGTGCAATGGCTGAGTCTGGGCCAGGTCAAAGCCAGGAGCCTGGAACTCCAACCGGGTGTCCCACATGGGTTCAGGGGCCCAAGCACTAGGGCCATCTTCTCCTGCTTTCTCAGGAGTATTAGCAGAGAGCTGGATGGGAGGTATAGCCTGCAGGATGTGAACCAGCATTCATTTGGGATGCCTTGTCCCAAGCAGCACCTTAACCTGCTGTGCCACAACACTGGCCCTTGACTTTTTAAACATGAGTAAACTGAGATGAGTACTTCTCTGGAAATCTTCTGTTTTCATTTGCAGATCAAAATGGGCGCAGAGTAGAAGACTGGGAATTCATTCATTCATTCAACAAATGTTGATTGCGGCCCTATTCTGCCTCAGGTACTGTCCCAGGCACTCTTATTTCCAGTTCTGCTGGCTCCCCCCACCCCTTGTTGTCCCATTCGTTTTCTCATCAATCCCTTCTCTTTCATTGTCCTCTGTGAATGTTGACAAAAAGGGTAAAAATGCTTGTTTGTCAGGGTGCATCTGTACAAGACTGATGCTAAAATGGTAATTGCTGTGGGTGCACCTAGACACCTATGTTTTGTAGAGAGATTCAGAGTGTGCTCATCAGCCTAAATACAACGCTGCAATTTTGCAGGGGCCCGAATCAGGAGCCGTGTACTACATGTCTTCAGAGGTCACAGTTACTTCCAACCTTTGTCCATTCATGCATCCATTTCGTTGGTTACTCTGTCCTCCACGTGAATTACCCTCTGTGTGACTATACTGAATATACTGAATCTATGGTGGGCATCATTCATTCCATCTCATTAAGAAGGATTGTAGCGCCCCCAATGATGTAGAACTTATTGTATGCCAGCACTGCCCTAAACGCTTTGCATATATTAGCTCTGCATATATTGTCTCTGCAACAACCGTATGGGTATGTGCTCTTGTCGTCTTCCTTTACAGATGGGGAAACTTTGACATAGGGAGGTCCTGTGGATGGTGACAGAGCGGGGGATTGAGTTCCGTCCGGCATTTGGATGCAGGGTTTGCCTCATCACTATCCTTCTCTGGACCACTGTTGGGTGAGTCTGGAGCGTGCTAGGTGGTGAGACTGATGGGATCTGGAAGAGGGTATTTGTTCAAGATAAAACCACTACATATCATAGTCCAGAATTTGAATCCAGACCCACTCCAGTAATGGACTCCCTGTCAATCCCACAACCTTTTCAGTCTCACCTTTCTTTTGAAAGTGACCCTCAACAGAGCTTTAGTTATTGCCCATTTTTGGATGAGAAGATCATCAGGGAGAGGAGGAGCAAGGACATCCAAAGGCATTTCATTCAAGCCTCAATTTACTCATCTGTGAAATGGGAACAAACCAGACAAATATTATAACATTAGGTGCTAACTTTTATTGAGCACTTAGTGTGTTTGAGCACTTTGCTGAATACTTTGGCACTTGCATGTTCTCATTTAATTCTTTTTTAAAGTTTTATTGAAAAGCAGGGGGTGAGAGAAAGAGAGAGAGAGAAAGGAAAGAAAGGAAAGAAAGGAAAGAAGGAAGGAAGGAAGGAAGGAAGGAGAAGGAAGAATTATTCATCTGCTGGTTTGCTCCCTAAATGCCTGCAACAACAATGGCTGGGCCAGGCCAAAGTCAGGATCCTGGAGCTCAATTTGAGTCCCCCACGTGGGTGACAGGGACTCAAGCCATCACCTGCTGCCTCCTAGAGTGCACATTACAGGAAGCTGGAATCAGAGTGGAGCTGGGATTTGAACACAGGCCCTCCAATATGGGATGTGGGTGTCTTGAGTGTTGTCTTACTGGCTGTGCCAAACACCCACTCTTCTCACTGAATTCTGAAAGCAGCATTGTGAGTAAGCCATGCTCATAGTAGTTCAAGAAGTTGTCCAAAGCCACACAGCTAATAAGTAGGAGGCAGAGTCTGTATTCAAATTCAGGCTACTGAGTGTTGAACACTTGACACGAATACAGCACCAGTGGTTCTCACAGGGCAATACTGCCTTCTACAACTCCTTCCAGAAATTTGTGGGGATGATTTTGGTAGAATGTTAGGGAGAGGGGGCAGTTCTGTGGCATAGCAGGTAAATCCCTGGCCTGCAGCGTCACCATCCTGAATGGGCGCTGGTTTGAGTCCACTTCCCATCCAGCTCTCTGCTGTGGCCTGGGAAAGCAGTAGAAGATGGCCCAAGTGCTTGGGCCCCTGCACCCTCGTGGGAGACCTGGAAGTAGCTCCTGGCTACTGGCTTCAAATCAGCTCAGCTCAGCTCTGGCCATTGCAACCGTTTGGGGAGTGAACCAGTGGATAGAAGACCTCTCTTTCTTTCTGGGTCTACATCTCTCTGTAACTCTGTCTTTCAAATAAATAAAATAACACTTTAAAAAAAAAGAATGATAGAGAAAACACGACATTGGTAGGCTTTGCTTTAGGGGACTAGGTGAGCTAAACATGCAGAAGTGTGTGTGGGAGACTTGCTGTGTGTACTGCTTCTCAGTGTCTTGCTGGACATTCATGTAGTGAAAAATCTGCTTATGGTCATCTGAGTCTGTTTCACACGTAAACATAGAGTGTATTTTCCAAAGTTTTACTATACTCAGCTTTTGCTTCCAGTGTGAAATGAGATTTGCTATTATTTATTAAAAAAGAAAAAATGCTGTCCACAGTTGTACTTAATTTCTTTACAAATCACACCACCAACGACAACACTGTTCAGTCCCATCCCCAGTGGGAACACCAACACCACACGCCTGAACCAGCTTGCATCTGTAGCTCTTCTGCAAAAGCTGTTTTTGTCTAGGTGCCACCATCACACTATCTCACTATGTCTTACAGGGTTTACGTATGAAATTGTTGTGAATATTACATATGTATGTTGGATGGAAAAGGGGAAAACATGATGTATTAGAAAAGCATGGGTAGAATGAATATTTTTTTTCTATTTCTTCGTTCTCCCTTTAATGAAAATCCACACAGCACCCTTTGCTGAATGGCTTTGCAGTGCCCCCTACCAAAGTGGGTGGAGAATATTTCTCTGCCTTGTGGATTCTGGCCTTGGCCGTGAGACTTGTTTGGCCAATGGAACAGGGACAGAGTGGAAATGTGCTGGTCCTGAGCCTGTCCCTCAAGAGGCATCGTGTGCCGCCATCAGTCCTCTTGTGCTTCTGCCATTTGCTATGAGAAATACATGCTCGGTATGAGGAGAAAGGGGATATCCTTGGAGCAGACTCGAAACCTGATGTCAAGTCCATAGGACCCCTCGTAAGCTCAGCAGAACCATAGGCAACCACAGAGCCAGGAGCAAAAGTAATACCTACTTATTCTTGTAAGTCACTGCAATTTTGAGCTCGTTAGAAACTGTCTGATACAAGGGGCTATTGAATCCGATAGGCTTGATGAACCCTGCATTCTACTATTCCTCCTGTAAGCAAAGCAGTTAGCTTAAGTCTTGGCACGCACGGTCATCTCTTCATAAACGGGAGTGCTTCTGTTAGCCCTGTGGAACGGCCACATGATATTCTGCTGTCATGTTAAAGAGGAGCCCGGATGCCTGGCTTTCTAAAACTTAGGCTTAGGCTTTGAAATTGCTGCAATTACTGTTGAACTCTCCCACCACCAGGGTAAGTGCTGGTGGTTTGGGAGGATGTAAATTCACAGAGCGGTCAGGTCAGAGATAATTGATGAGTCCTCTGCTTTGAGAGGGGATCCAGCACCATGGAAACAACAAGCGCGTTTAGCTTTGTAACCGTGGATTATAATTACCAAGTTATTAACCGGAGCGTTATGTGAAAGATTGATGGTTCTTGCTCAATGTAATGTGTCCTTTAAATGCTAAATAATAAGTTAAATGCAAGGAATAAATAAGTTCGATGGCTTATTTATGGTGTAATTATGGGATATTTTCAGCCCATAAACTAGGGCGTCTCTAGAACTGCAATGCTGTGTAGGGGAAAGAGCCCTGAATTAGGAATCAGGAGACCTGGATTCTCTGCCGCCTGCCAGCCAGTGACCTTGGACAGGTTCCATCATAGCTCTGAGAGGAAGGGGAGATAAAAGTACTCTTAGAGTAGCTGTGAGGAGTAGCGTGATTGCACACGGTGTTGAGAACAGCGGCCTTACATAATGAGTGGTTACAAAATGTTAACTCTTCTTTCATCGTCATATTTGAAATGAGAGATTTGTATAGTAGGAGATTCTCTGCTCACGTTTTTGGTCAATAAGTAGTTGGTGGAATTTGCCAAATATCATCCATGAATTCTTTTTTTTTTTAAATGCCCTTTCATTGTCTTTTTTTTACTTAAAAAATAATCAGAAACTTGGGTGAGTATAGGCAAGAATGAGGATGAAAATAAAAATCTCCCATCTAATTCCACCATCTAAATATAACGACTGTTAACTTTTTTTATGTAGATTCCCAGCCTTTTTGATAAGCCCGTGTATAGAATTTCTCTTTTGAATTCTGGAATTGGAGTCCTGCTTTACATGCTGATTTGCCACCTACTTTTGAGATGTTTCCAATGTCATTAAATATTCTCCTAAAACATACTTTTTAATGGCTGCAGAGCAGGGCGTTCTCAAGCAAAAGTGTCTAAATGGAAGAGTTATTCAGGGAAGCCCACTTAGCCTATTCACTGAAATTATACTTTCAGACTTTCTGAAATCTTCATCTCAAATTGGTCTTAAATGGGCCAGGGCTTGGCTTTAAGATTCCCCTCCACCGCCTCCTTCCTCCTCCAGCTGCCCCTAAGCTCTCTGTCAAGTAGTTAATGATTGTACCAGGCACTTATTCGGTAGGGGAGCTCTCAGTTTAAAGGGTCTCCGTGGTGAGCCATTTTGTAAAAGGAAAGAATGTCATTCAAATAATCACCCTCTAATTTATCTGCTCAGTTGATTTTATTTTTCTCTAAATTGAGAGTTTTTTCTTAAAGGGAGGTCCAGCTACAGGTAAAATTTCCCACTAGTCTTGTTAACCCACCTTACTTATGCCAAGTATCTCCTTTTCTCTAAATAACAAGAAGAATTGCTTTGTGTCCCCTCTTCTGCTCCCTCTCCCATGATCTAGTTTATTGACTCTTACTGGAAATAGTTGAGATGAGTTTAATGTTTTGTAGATAATCAATAGAAAAATTAATAGTTTTTTTAAAAAAGATTTATTTTATCCATTTGAAAGACAGAGTTACAGAGAGAGAGAGAGAGAGAGAGAGAGAGAGAGAGCAAGAGGTCTTCCATCCGCTCCCAGACGGCCGCAATGGCCAGAGCTGCGCCAATCCAAAGCCAGGAGCCAGGAGCTTCTTCCAGGTCTCCCACGTAGGTGCAGGGACCCAAGGACTTGGGCCATCTTCCACTGCTATCCCAGGCCATGGCAGAGAGCTGGGTCGGAAGAGGAGCAGTGGGGAATAGAACTGGTACCCACATGGGATGTCAGCACTTCAGGCCAGGGCTTTAACCCACTGCGCCACAGCGCCGGCCCTGAAAAATTAATAGTTTTATTCTTACTTTAATGTGGACTGGACATACCTGTATATCTTTGTATCAGCCTCAGGTCTCCCACATGGGTGGCAGGAACCCTGCCACTTGATCTGCATTCGCAGGAAGCTGGAGCTCAGTATCAAACCCTTCTCTGACGTAGGACCCAGGCACCTGGCCACCCTTGCTCTCCTCCAACTCATTCTCCACACAGAGGAAAGCTATTTTTTTCAAAATGTAAATTAAAGAACTGCCTCATTCACACCTGAGAATGAGGTCCACTCAAAAAACGTAGAACAAAGGAATGAAGAAGGAAACACAGTGTATCTTTTTTTTTTTTTTTAATATTTATTTGTTTATTTGAAAGCCAAAGTTATGGAGAGGCAGAGGCAGAGAGAGGGGGGGCGGGGAAGAAGGAGAGATCTCTCATCCTTTGGTTCACTGCCCAAACAGCTGCAATGGCCAGAGCTGGTCCAATCCGAAGTCAGGAACCAGGACTTTCCTCTGGGTCTTCAACGTGGGTGTAGGGGCCTAAGCACTTGTGCTATCCTCTGCTGCTTTTCCAGGTGTGTTAGCAGGGAGCTAGATAAGAAGTTGAG